TTTAAATTGTTGTTTTGTAATTGATTTTTTATTTGAAAAGCAGGACAAAACAGTAAAAAGCACATTTTGGCAATTTACTTAATGCAATGGTGAAAAAAACAATGGCAAAATAGGCCTACATGGGGAAAAATGTGAAAAACCATGTTCGGTATTCGGCCTTCGGCCCAGTGTTTTATTTTGTTCGGCTTCGGCCAAGAATTTTCATTTCGGTGCATCCCTAAAAACCATGTCTACATTTGTGATCGGAGAATGACAAACAACAAGCGCTACTCTACGCTGCTCAAAACTCACGTTTGAATCATCAATGGCAAATTCTTTAAATATAAAAAACGTACTTACAGTCTTTGAGTCAGAACAGCCGGCATTGTAGTCTACTCTCACAGGATCAGGAAACAGTCCTCCATAAAATGCGCTGCACACATCTGAATATTTGGGTTGAAGTGTTCTGGAACAGTGTTGTAAATACAACTTAACCACTGATTTCTAGCCGTGTCCTCTTTTGGAAGGCCAAACAAAGTAGTTTCGCTTTCACAACGAAACACACGGCGGCTAGAGTGAGCGGAGGCCGGCTTGAGTGAGCAGAGGCTTGAAAACGGTGCGGCCGGCGGATTCGACGAAGGAGCGTCCGGAGGGCTTGCGGCAACCACATGTGACGACCCCGCGTGTTAGAACGAGCCGTTTTAGGTAGGCGTGGTTAACTCTTAACTTTTATAAAGAATATCTCTTTGGATTTGAGACTTTAGTATTTGCAACTTGACAGATCTTCTTTATGCACCAAGAGCTTGTAACACTCCAAAGAGAAAGGAAAAATTGAAATCGCATCATATGACCCCTTTAATTCTCAAAAAAAAAAAATAAAAAAAAATAGACTACTGGGCCCGTATTCACAAAACATCTTAAGGCTAAAAGTAGCTCATAACTTGCCAATTTAGGAGACAATTTTGCAAATAATGGGCGTCAATCCTAAATTTAGGACCCCTAAATTTTTGCTCTAAGAGTATTTCACAAAGCGTTTTAGCACTAAAACTAGCTCCTAAACCTGTGAAACGTTAGTAGTGAAGAGGACTCCTAAGTCACTAAGATCAAGCCACAAACTAGCGTTTTAGCACTAAAACTAGCTCCTAAATCTGTGAAACGTTAGTAGTGAAGAGGACTCCTAAGTCACTAAGATCAAGCCACAAACGATCCTAAAATGGCTGTTGCTGGCAACTTGCCTCAGAACATAAACATTTTAGAAACATTTGACAATAATGAGCTTTTAAAAAGGCATCACCTTTGGTTTTGGCGATTATTCCAACTCCAAATTTTCCTTTGATTATATCCTTGTTTCATTAGCCAGCTGAGCAAGAAGTAACAGCTGTTTTGCATCCAGTTTGGTTTTCTTTTACGTTTGCATGTCTTACTATCAGCCATGATTATTTTACACTGTTTATTAAAAGGCAGTTTATATGCATATTCACTAATACGTTTACGAGAAGCATACAGGCTGAAAATTAGCTGAGCATATACTTATATATTATATTGTTTAATTAGTGACACTTAGCCTGCATTTTAAAATCTTTAATTGAATGTGGCAATTAACATTTTTATTTTTAACCCCTTTATTTATTTATTTTTTAAATACGGCAACATAATATCACGCTCTACAATATTTCTATGAATAAATCTCTGACAGAGACTATCAGCCAATCACTGTGTGCATAGTTAGTAAGCACGCTAACATCATCCATAGCAACGAGGTCAACCCCGACCCCTTACTCTTAGCTTAAGACTTCTCTCTATTCCTTAGTAAAAGTTTGTCTCAGCAGCTTTGTGAATAGGTTTCAAGAGAAAACTCTTAGCTAAAAGCTTTTTACTGCCGTTTAGGAGAACTCTTAGTGGTAAGATAAAATGTTCTGTGAATATGGGCCCTGGTGTCTTTAAAAGCATGAAATATGCTACGAATGCAAACTTGCATTGTATATATGAATATCAACAAAGTTTATGATGGTTTATGGTTAGATAATGTTATGCTTGCATGCAAACACCTCAAAAGATGTCACGCAGCACACTTAGACAATGGGTTCTGTGACACTGTGCAACTAGAAATTGAAAGAGCTTGAATACATTGGCGACTGTTCTGCTAGCCTTCAATCTGATGTCTACTCTCACATCTCTCTCACCCTTGCTGGTACGAGCAGCGATGAGTCCCGGTGTCTCTCCAAGATCATTGTGAACCTCGACATCTGCTCCAAACACCATGAGAGCTTTGATCAGGTCCATGTGGTCCAACTGTGGGCCCAGAGGATACACAGTTGAAATAAAACCATTTTAAGTTGAAGTACTAATTAAAGCATTAAATTGGATAGAAAGTTAAATAAAAAGTAAAAAATACAATAAAATAAAAAAGACTACAATGTAAATAAAACTTAGGTGAAAACTGAAAATATAAAACAAAAGCAAATTTAAATTAAAAAAGATTATTTTACCTCATATTTTTTGTCAAATAAACTATTTGTCAAAAAAAATAATAACAATGTAATTAAACATTTTACATTTGAGTTTTGAATTCTCAATAAGTATAAAATTAATAAATAATGTTTATTATGTATTATTTACTAGTAAATATGTTTTTTTTTTTACTTAACACATTTTTATTATTATTTTAATCACATTTGTTTTATTTATTACAAATTAAAGGCAGTACAACAAGTACTATTATGACACATTTTACAATATAAATTACACTTATATTTTAATAGATTTTTTAAAGTGTATATTTCTTTACATATATATTGAGGTGAAATACGAGCCAGAAATGTTCTTCACAGGCTTTATGAAATTCTCTCTCATACCTTCATGGCGAGGTGCAGTGCTGTGTTTCCATCCTGACCCTTAATGTTGGGGTCGGCTCCATGGGTCAGCAGCGTCATTGCGGCCTCAAAGCGCCCCCTCTTGGTCAGGATGTGTAATGGACTCTCTCCGGTCTTACTCAGGTAGCTGACGTTACATCCTCGGTCCAGCAGCACACGGCTCATCTAGAGAGAGAACACACAGGACAGTCAAATAACTAACACTTAGAATTCCTAAAGTACGAAAAAGAACAAAAAGTGTTCCTGACCTCGGCAGTCTTGGCCCAGTGAAGAGGCGTTCCGCCGTAAATCGGATCCTCCGCCAGAAGTTGATTTGGGTTGGTGTTTAAAATTGCTTCGGCACAACTAAAAGAGTGAGAATGATTTAGAAGCCTACAAGTGAATTATCAATTAAAAAGTGACAAAAAGATTCTTGTTCCGCACCTTTTCTCACTAAACTTCACGGCGGTGTGGATCGGATAGCCATTGCTTCCCATGACGTCACAGCAGGCTCCGCCCCCAAGCAGGCCCTTGACCACCTCGACCCTCCCGAGACGGCATGCAATGTGCATTGGTGTTTCCCCGGCGGCGTTCAACTCGTTCATACCCACGCACATCTGTGCACACAAAATCTACGAGCGACAAAAATACACAATCACAGACACCCGAATTTGGCATTCAGCAGATTGTATATAATCCCTAAGCTGACCTCTCACCTCTATAATAACAGCAGAGTCTTGTTTAGCAGCGCAGTGCATGGGCGTCTCTCCGTTCTTGTCCTTGATGTCTGTGCGAGCCTGACACTCCTCCAGGAGCCCGCGTACGCAGCCCACATCTCCTCTCTCGCACGCCAGGTGCAGCGGGGTCTGACCCTGGGCGTCACGGGCGTTCATCTGACTGCAAGGGGCCACAGACAATCAGAATTTTTTTACATTTTGTTCTTGCTTTAATGTTTATTATCGGACTCAGAAGAGATTTTTTACATGAGGTTGGTTTAAAAAATGGTCAGGTTTTTATCTCACTTATGCATATTGTGACAATGCTGCATGTTGCGTATTTTTTCACATTTTATTTTTTAGAAAAGGAGTACAAAATAGGCATCAAATAAGAAGTTGACGTCCTGTGGTGCGAACTCTGTGGAAAACCATTGTAAAGTTGTATTTTGTTGATTATTTCTATATTTGTAATTTAACTTCATGACGAGACGAATCTACTTCAACATGTGCTGATAACGGTATATAGCTAACGGTTTAAATTTATTCCCTTAATATTTCTCTTGTGGCCGTACAAAGTGAAAAAAAAAATGAGAAGAAACCTATTTCGTGTTAAACAATTCGTTTTTGAAAGTCGGTGCTTGAAATAGGCCCAATAAAGCTTTTTAATTCATTGATTTTTATTGATGACTGCAGTGTTAATATTTTAATTATAGGCCTAATTAATTGTATAATAGACCTGTTTTAAAAGGCCTTTCTTAAAACATTTTAATTGGGGAGTAAATAGGCGTATCTGTTGTTATCCTCGCAACGCGTCAGTTGTGCGGTAATACTGCGGGGCAGATTAATTGTAATTTTAATTTAATAGACTAATAAAATTAAATTATAAAAGTAACTTCATAATAATAATAATAATAGGCCTAATAAAAATAAGAATGTAACAGACCTACATTAACTGGAAATGTCAAATCCTCTTATTATTGCCAATAATTTATGTTTTTGACAATATCTCTGGCTATCGTCGATACAAGATCATCGCAACCCAGCAAGGTGAGGTTATCGCAGGGCCTTTCGCAGTGTGTGCCCATCCACTAGACAGCACGTTGCCTGTTACATCGTTTAGGCTGCCTTGTTGAGCGCAGTGGCACTGAGAACATTAAAAAGATTTATTGCATTTTTCTTTTTCATCACTTTGAGGGCTTTTGTAGGCTATAAGAAATAAACATCATAATATGCACAAAACTTTGGTTTCACTTTCAAGTACTTAGATTTGTGTATTTGTATATGTTGTTAGGTGGTCAAGGAAGTCATCTTTGTTAATTATTGTGTGTTCGGGGAGGACTATACGTAGACCTCAGCGTGACTGTCAGCTTGACTATCAGAGTGATCTTGCGTTATTTCCTTATCAACTCTCACGTGCGTTTGGATAGTTTGCAGATCTTGTTGAGCGCAGTGGCACTGAGAACATTATATTTCACACACTTTTATGCCAAGTTCACACTGCACGATATTAGCCGATTTTCACTCTCCGAAAGATTTTGCGAAATCGCCGACAAATGCCCGAAATGACATGACAATCATGCAGTGTGAATTATCAAAGACGCGATCTGAGAGAATCACCGATGCGTTGCCGACGCCTGGTGAAAACAACGGTGATCCGATGACTTTGAAAATCATGCAGTGTGAACTCGGCATAAGCTCTTTTATGTGCTATGTTTAGGGGGAAAAAAAAACATATTGTCAAATAAAAATAAAGAAAATAAGAACAAATAATCTAACTACAAGCAACAGCACAAATAAACGCAATAGAGTAAAGATACAAATAAAACAAACAGTGCTTTTCAGGTTTTTTTGGTAGGTCTAACAGTTTTTAGGTATGGCTATGTCTGCTAGGATACTCACCAAGACGGGCATTTTGACATCATTTTTGTGTGAATTTGTCCATTTAAACAATATTCACAGAGAGCTTAATATTTGCGCGTGTTCTGAGGCGCGGGTTCAAGCGCTTCGGATGAATGCATGCACAAATCTTCGCGTCCTCTGGCTGAGACTGTCTCTTAAATGTTTAAGCTTAAATAAGTTTAGCTTAAACACAGATAGCAACGTGTGCTGTTCAGGTCTCACCTGCGCTATCAACATGTGATGATGGCATAAATGACAGCTATTCCAGCATACAGCACTCGCATTGAACAAAGAGTGACTGGTTTTTTTCTGCTATATATATATATATATATATTGCAATATGAAAAAAATATTACCAGATGATGTAATCATAAAAAAATAATCAATGATTGAACGATTCAACCATAATTTTACAAAGCTACGAGAATCATTTTTGTGTGCAAAAGACTTCAAATCACAACAACATAGGAAACAGATCCGGCATGACGCAGCTGTTTAGGTTTCACTTTAAAATCAGTGCGGTCTCTTTAAAACCTGATGCATATGACGCGGATCTTACACATATCCGACATATATTTTCTCCCAACTCTTTACGGTCATTTATAACTCATTTAAGACTCCGTTTACAAGGTAACTCACCAAAACCGCACATTTTGACATAATTGTGTGTGTTTTCGTGCGTTGACGCGGATCTGACACACATCCGATTTTCTCCCAACTCTTTACGGTCATTTATAACTCATTTAAGACTCCGTTTACAAGGTAACTCACCAAAACCGCACATTTTGACATAATTGTGTGTGTTTTCGTGCGTTGAAGCGTTACTGGTGAGCTGTCTGAAGCGGCTCAGCGTATGCGTACAGCCGAATGCGCAGCCTTTCAAACTATACTTCACTGCACCGTTTAGGCGGTGTAAACCCAGG